TGAAAGCTAGACAACTTTGAAATATCAATTTACAAAAAAAATCCATATAATTGTTTTAAGATCAGATACTCCTTTTACATGATTTTACTAGCTTCAAGGAAATGCCTTTCACGTTTCCAGAGAGAAACAAACTTCCCTGTTGAATGAGAATAATTTAAGATAAAAAAAATTGCATTGGGTGTGAATGATTTTGGACTTAAATGTAGTTTAATGAGAATTAGTCATTCTGCTGTTGGTTGAAGAATTGTTTACTACTTTTGACCTGTATGAGGGGCTGCATATTCTGCTTTCACATGCAATGATGCTTCCAGACATCATAATACAACTAGCCTCTTTAAGGTGAACTCTGTTTTTGTAACATCAATGCTCCTGTGCTGTTATTATGAAACCAAGCTAGACATGTGCAACATTCATATAAATCACCTCTTAAATTGTATTTTCTGCCCTGTCAAGTTGATCTTTTTTTGAGAAAATGAACAAATTAACTGAGTTAGGTGTTCACAAGATATCCATCAGGGTACTGAATAAACTGCTCAAACGGCTGTATAAAAAAGTGAGATTGACAGAATTATTTCAGTGTAGAAGGTTCCTCTAATAATGTGTAAGTAATATAGTGAGATGGAACAACGTCTGACCTTCCAGGTAATATTGTGTTGGTAAACAACAATAATATAAAAATAATAATGAATGTAACACTGTTGGGAATATGGCTAGAACCAATAAAAAACAAAGAAAACAAGAATGCTCTTTTTTACAAGTACATTAGATACCGTACATGATGATGATATTTTAGATTTGTACCTGTATTTGACTGATAACTGATGCTATTTTAAAAAGTCAAAATCTAATTTAAAGTATTTTGGGTATTTCCTCTTTATAATAATGTTAAGACCTGAATTAAATTATAAGATTGTACAAAGAAAAGAAAGACAAATAGGCGGAGGAACATATGAGAATGAAGCTTTTTGGTCTGTAGACCAAAATAATAAATTCAAACATCAAGTTTCCCATAATAAAATCTCATGTTTTATCTAATTGAAAAAAAAAATCTCTTTTCAGTTAATGGGTTTATTTATTTGAAGATTTATTGTGACACTCTGCCTTTAAAAAAAAAAAAAGAAATAATTTAAACTGACTCACATGGTAGAGTGTCTTTTTTAATATGACTTTGTACTGTTAAAGGCTGTAAATAGAGTGTGCTTTTCTCCTTGACTTGAAAACTGTGATGTAAGAGGTCATCTTTAGCTTTTAAAAAGCAGTTGTTCTCACATGCATCATTGGTTATTTGGTTCGAAGTTCAAGGACATAAAAAGGCAAACAATTTCTTTATATTTGTGAGTTTACAAAATTTAATTATCGAAGAAAGAAAATAATGTAAAATGTAATATTTAGATCTGATTATGTTTATATAAAAGTAATGGAAGACTTGGAGCTCACTAAAGCCATAGCAGACTAGTTTTCAGTATTCCTAAGTTTGCTTTGGTGGCGTGAGTGCATGCTGTCTTGAGGCAATTCTTTCTGCTCAGATAAGCATAGGTCTATGTGCTATCCCAAGCACAAACGTTTCCTTGTGGCAGTTTTCCGCAATCTGATTTTGAGTTCAGTCTTCTGTACACACCTCTGCAGATGCCTTTTTGTTGCATTTATTTAAATCTGTTCATAAACAAAACGGTTCCCTGTTTGCAAAACTAAAGCAATATATTTGAAAAGGCTGTTGGTCGAACTTATTCAACCAACAGTCTTTTGTATTATTAAACTTTTTCTATTTGAGCTTCAATTTTTATACTTGCAGAAATCTGTTTATGATAAATTTTAATGAAAGTTCTTATTTAGTAATCATCTGAGTTTCATAATTAACTCGGCGAATCTGTAGCAGTTTCTTATTTTTAATATTTCATAACAATAGGTATTACCGGTAGTTGCGCTGTTTGAATAAACTTGTTTTACAATCAGTGCAAATTTTACAGCTGAAGCAAAGGATTCCCATGTTATCTCTATGTAGATGGGTGGATCTGGAGCGAAGCAATGTGGAGTGAGACTGAGCAAGGCGACGATGGAGAATGTACGAAGGGCATGATTTTGGCGATGTCAGCGACAATTGATCGAGTAAAGTTGGAAATTCTGAACTTTTGTTTATATTCACTTGCAAAATCCAGTCAGAGACTGGTGGGGCTGTAAGCTACAGTGAAGGAGCGCAGTGAAGATTATCTTATTTTATAAAAAATGGAAACAGAAGAAAATAATGTTGACAAAGGACAAAGTTTGTATGCTCTAAAGTGGATTTAAGGTGGCTTTTAAAAAAGCCATTTTAATTTATTTCTAGAAAGACTGTTTTTTATGTCTGACCTCCAGCATAGACTGATGCGTTTTTTCCCCAACCCTGCCAGTGACTGTCTAGGCCAGCTTAGCTGATCCTCTGGGGTACTGCTTTCATTTCATACAGATAAGCTGAGTTTATGCTGGATGTGCGAGTCAGCCAAATGATGTAATTTTTGGCTTCCACGCCCCTTGGACAATATTCGCACAGATCACCAAGGAAAATTTGTAACTGCACGGATGGATCCGCACGGAAAACATGGCAAGCAAGCAGCAGCTCGTGCTGGTGAGGGTAAACATCTATAGACATCCCGTGATTTAGCCCATAAATATCACCATTATAAACACGTTGTGGAAAAACACAAAGAAAAAAATGACTGTTCTCAAACAGCATGAAGGGGCTTTGTTCAAGTTGTAAACAGCTGTGTTTTCTACTTCCTGGTGTAGTGTGGTGTTGTCAGCTTGCTTTTTGTTCTGTACACGCCTCCTCAGAGCCGGCCAGCATAGGGGCAAAGCCACACAGTCAAACATAATGAGCCCTTTAGCCTATAAGCTACGTCCAACCAGCTGTACCCTCTCCTGGCTATGCCTCCATGGATAGCTCTCAGATGTGCCGTTGTCCTGCTCTCGGACAGCCGTAGTCTCTTACCTGCGCTCAGTGTTCTGTCTTCCTGGCAGACTTATCTGATCTGCTGCAATGCTCCTCTGTTCCTCTGCAGTTATCTTATTTAGGAAGCCCCAGCCAGCTGTACCCTCTCTCCCCGGTGCTGTGTCCCCAGCGGGCTTCCCACTCTTCCTCCACTCCCCCACTCTAGTGCGCTGAATCCCTGGAGGGATCCTCCAATCTCTTGCTTTGGTTCCATAGTTCAAAGGCTGACATGGCTGGCAGCCTGGTCCTGGTGATGTTTTTTTTCTCTCTGGTTTTCTCACACTGATTTCCCTCTGCTTTGGTCTGAGCTTCAGCATGCCATCTCACCTGTGGGTTGGTGGAAAGCGACTGTCATTCAGAACTATACCATCAAATCTGGTTGATGGTATAGTTCTGGAATCTAGTTAACCTAGGAACACCGACGGTTTTTTCGACTTTCTCAAGTAATAAGCAATGCCAGTCGCCTTGTAAATCTGTGTCACCATGAT